TTTATCATAGAAAAACTATGCATTGTGACCTCACGTTTTATTTATCCCCGGCTGAAGTCGGGTGCACGGATATCTACACCCGACTTTGTAACCAATCAAAGATTGTGTTACAAGCTATATAGGAAATAATGACCTTTATCATGGATGACAATTATGGTACTTAGTGTCTTCCCATGGAGCACATTTTGTCCCCCTTTTTAACTGAAAGTGGTAAATATTAATTTAAATGTGAGTCTGTTTATCCGTCCATCCAAGGGTGTCCGTCTGTTTTACTGTTTGTCTGAAACACTTTTGTTTTGGTGTGATATCTCGAGAAACTGTTGCAAGGAATTTTACAGAACAATTATCTGCGGCCTAAGGAAGACACCAAGTAAAGTGATTTTCAGATCAAAGAGCCAAGATTATTGATCAATTGATAATTCTTTATATTTAATACGTACATTTGTTTCCGCGCGATATCTTGAGAAGGCTTTTATTAAAAGTCTTTGCATGGCATTTTTTACAACTCCCTATGGCGCCTCAGCAAGACCTGAATTCTTTTTTTGAGGTCAAAATATTAAAAATCAAAACTGTAAATTCATACATCCTGTCTGTGTAAAAATTACGCTTTTGGGACTTTTCAATGAATTTTTATACCATAACTCCCTAATGCCCCCCTTCATAAAGTTTTCCTGCTCTATATGTTTATACACGCATGCTCTGTTCGAATTTCTTTCTTTAGGGGGCAGGGGGGTCTGATACACTCTAGTAAAGAAATGAACACCACAAGTATAGAAACGTTGACCTTGCAGAGACCTGCTATAATAACAATTTTATCATCAGCAGATATTTTTTCTACAATTAAAGATATCATATTCTGATAATATTCTAGTAAGACTTTTCACCTTTGCCATTGACTATGGGCATGCTTTTCTTATCCATGCAAGGTTAAAAGGTTATCTCTGAACACTTATTCTTGTTCCCGACAACCTGGTAAGAACTTAAGCGAATTGTTTCCTGACATAGGTTAGATCAATATACTATGGATATTCTTAAAAAAGTAGAATTTATACCTTATACATTTTAAATGAAATGAAAATATGAATCCTCCAATAAGGCTTTTAATAATTTTAATAGCCTTATATTGCTTCACATGAACTGTGTACTTTGACGGGCTAATGACGTCGTATATGATGTTTTAAACGTGTAGAAGTAATGTTGCATTTTATTAAACATTAGGAAGATGAGCATTTTTAAAGAGATCACATTTTTAAAAAAATCATATTTTGATAACCACCCTCTTTCGGTGAAATATTTTATTGTTTCTTTTTCAGTTGACCTGGTCGTTATACGTCATGATTAGCCTTTGTTTAGTGCTCTTTTTTACTGGTACTTTAGCTGCTCCCACTACGTAAGTCTCCCTTATATGTACCTTTTTTAAAAAATATATATTAATAATTCTTTTCTATCATGCATAAGGTTTTCTTTCTACCCAAAATATTTTAGATACTTCATATTATGAGTCATTTAAAAGTCTAACCCTAACCCTGTGTAAAACAGACCACAGATGACTTTTGAAATATATCATGTGATAAAAATTGCTAGAATAAGCGTGAAATTGTTTCTTTTTCAAATGTAACACAGTCTTTTTTCATTTTGCAAACAAGTTTAATATATAGCTTAAAACCAAGATTTGTCTCCAAACATATATGATTCTTAAAAATATAAATCGGTATGTAAACATATTGATTGGTTAATGCTTTGATCAGTCTGAAATGTGTTAGCAAAATATGCATCCTTTTTTATTTTCTAGCCATACCCAGTCACCATTACAACATTTCAAAAGCATCGTAAGACGGCAGGTCACAGCGTTATGGCCCACAGTGGACACAGATGGCGACGGCCATTTTGAAGTTAACGACATGCATCATATCCTTGGAGACTACGATGCCGACCGTATTTTCTTTTGTGAAACAATTGATTAGGCTCCTGTTCACTAAATTTACACAAATTCACTTTTAAACTCTGCCTCACTTTTCCTTTATACTTATCCCTTTTTTAAAAGTGAGACCAAAATGGAGCTCATCTAAAATGTATGGCCCCAGACTTTGATTCAACATTACATAAACGTTAATGATAGCTATATTTAAGTCTTACTCAAGCAAACTAATTCTATTTGAAAAGCATAAAAATCCCATAAATTTACATGTGAAACATCTGGTAAGACAATCATCAATACCTGTAAAGTTCTATCATTTTTCTTATACAAATGTACAGTCCTATTCTTTGATGTTCCTACATTGTAGATGACCAAAAAGTATCCGAACAGGAATTCATCGCCAGGTTTGCACATAACGAACCAGATCTCAATGTTATTGCACAGGGCTTGTTCTTCGAATTTGACATGAATAGAGACGGTTTCATTACTGTGTCAGATTTAGATCTATACTACCAGAAAATTGATACCAATGGTAATAATAAAACATGCTTCAAAGACATTGTGAAATATCTTTTATCACTATACTAGTAACTATTTGTTAAAAATAACAAAATGAAATGTAACATCTTGTCTTTACATCAATAATGCCAAGATCCAGTTTATTAAACTTTTCGATCATATTTGACAGACAATGGGCATGTAGAAAAGGAAGAATTCGTACATTATTTCACAGAGGTATGTTGTCGTTGTAACACTTAACAACTAGAATGTCTAAAATGATTTAGAGTTTAAGAATTTAAATACAGTTTTTAAACACGTTTTAATACATTAAATCTGGAGATTTTTACCTTAAATATTCAAAATTCAAATAAAATCTTGTGAGTTTTTGATCTATCGTTCGTTCAAAAAGATACGCTAAACGATCTAAACTGCAATACAATTTTTCGTATTTTTATATTTTGAAATTTACCTCATAATTCTATATTTCAGCTTTGACAACATTTTAGATTTTTAAAAAGAAATTTAAAACCTTGATTTAAACACTCAAATTCTAAATAACCAAAAACACTTTTTACATTTAAAGATTTTAGAATTTTACTTCAAATATCCGCAATATCGTATTCCATATCTGGTTTGAATATTGAAACTATGAAACTACATGTCAAAAATTCTTTATTTCAAGCAAAAACAACTTTTCGATATAAAGAATTGACTCAGGGTTTAAAAACTCTAATCAGGTTTGGAAATTTGATATTTTGGATATTTGAAGTAAAATCTAAAACAATCAGTGTTTTGGTAATTTGAAAATTGAATGTTTGAATCAAAATTCTAAATTTCAAAAAGTCTTAATACGTTTTGAAAGTTGAATTTCAGAGGTCTGAAATAAACTTTAGAAATATCAAAAGATGTTAAATGGTATTGAACTTTAGATTGTCAAGTGTAAACTTTCTGAACAAAAGATATATTAAAAACTCAAAAGTTAAGAATATCAAAATCCTTTTTGGAAATTTAAATTTTAAATATTTAACGTTAATCTCTAAAGATTTAACATTTTAAAACCTTGTTCAGAATTTGTAAATTTAGATCTTTGAACAAAAATTTAAAATTTCACGATTCAAATTTTGTTAGTTTTCGGATTTTAGGAATTTAATCTAATGTATTGAAAAATTTTAAATCTCTAACTCATTGTAGAAAATTAAAGTGTTAAGTGTTACACGTAACGTGCGTATATAAAGAATTAAAGTTAACGTCTTCATATGCAGTATTATATCTTTGAGAAGATAATCTCTCTCTTTCTCTCTCTCCCTCTCTCTCTCTCTCAAGCACAAAAATATCCACTGTCTTCTCTATTACAGATCTTTACTATTCTGTACGTCATACAGCTTAACCAGACCACGACCCCCTCCTCAGCGGCAGCACCCGGGGGTCGCTAAATATAGACAGGAGCACCCGGTTGTCGCTAGAAATGGAGAGTAACAGATGCATTTATATGTTATGATTCTTTGTTCTATATTGTACATACAAAATAAAGCAATCATATGAAATTTATTTTTTTTAATAAGTTTATTTTAAAGTGCATTAATGCATTAATTATATTATATCCCCTCTTTTAATAATTGTGTTAAAGCGAAAAATATATATTTTCCCTTTGGAAGGAGTTTAAAAATATTTTCGTGAACAGATCAAGTTACCATGCAGAAAATCAGGCTATTTTCAAAATAATGCGCTCCCAAGACTAAGGGTTTAAAACAAATGGGTCGGTAGGTACAGTGTATAGGAAGTTGAATGGGGAAAGTTTTGTTTTTCTAGAAAAATCAAATAAATATTTATAGGATGAGAAAATCCAGAAATAAAAAGAATAAAATATCGTTTTGAGTCGGGTCATTTTTGGGCAGTCTGTCAAGAAAGGGCAAACACACATTTAATTAAAATAAATAGCCTCATGCTACATATTTTTATTTCTATATTTTAGAGTTACTTCCCTTATAATGAGCTTTTTGTGAAAGACTTTATAAAATATAAACATCTATTATAAGCTTTTAAAGAAAAGGCTAATATTAAGGGAGATCTTAACATTTATTAAAATTGATTTTAGACTCTGAGAACATTATATCAAAGAAAGATATGTACAGATATTTTGTTTAGTTAAATTTTAACATAGGGCAACAACCTTTTCTTCCCTGAAAAATAAGTCAAAAGACACCAAATAAAGATTTCAAAACAAAAATCTTAGATTTTTTCTACTAACATTCGGAAAATACATAATACGATCAACTTACTTGCAAAAAAAAAAATATATATTTATTGCGCGTTAAAATTTATTACATCTAATGGTACTCATGGTGTTCCTAAGGTTTAATTGTCAAAAGAAATTCAATCTAAAAGAAGGGGTTGGTAGATAAGAAAATGAATCCAAATATTCACCAGTCATCTCGTTTCTCCAGTCATCCGAATCCAAGCAACCTACCGTTGTGGACTGTGTCAACACACCCTGCTTTCTTGCTTCAGTGAATATCATTTTTGCTTGAATAATTCCAAGTCAATTGAACTTCATGTCTCAAACTTCTTGACATAAAAGCGGAAGTGTGGATCAAAATGCCATGTTCAATACCGTTTATTATCAAATATATTAAAAAATTATAAATGAAGCAAAATGATCAGACATATATTGCTGGCTTTCGGTTCGAACATATTTCAACAAATACCTATTTTCTTTGAACCCAATGACTTTAACTAATCCGAAATTTTATTTTGAAGTAATTAATTATAAAAATGTTCTCTTTCGTTTACTATTAAAATTTTCGTGGTTCCGTCATGTAGGTTTGTTTTAAATCAACGTTTCCTCAATTTGGTATGTCGCCAAATGACTGATGCTAAACATGCTGAGCTGACGTGTACAGTTAAAGCTACCGGGACACGTGATTACATTACTACTATCCCAACTCTGATTGTGTTTTATTTGATTGAAATAAATTTTCCTGTGGTTAAAATTGCTATAAATCTTTCAGCTGTTACTTAATCAAAGATTTCAGGGATTACACTATTGGTAAAATATTTATCTTGCTATTAGTGAGAAGAAAAAAAACAACTCTTTTTGTTAAAACCCTTTAAAAGGAAAGTAGGAAATAACAAAAACTGCCATTTCACTGTCATGGGAATGCCTTTGACTAATATGTAAATCACACACATGTATTAATATACTATTATACATATTCATGTATATTTCATGTATTTAGACAGGAATATGTACGCTTAATTGTTGTATGTCAGTAGCAGCAACCATATTTTAAAGCAATCGTTTTTTTAGTTTTACAGTTTTAACCATTCCTTTAAAAACTTTAGCAGAATGACACGTTTTTTCAACGGGAAAGCAGAACAAGAAAGCATTCTTGTTGATTTGAATATGGACTCAACAACGAATGAAGAGCATACTCAAAATGTATTAGACCTCTATCTAAATTACTTTTTATTTATTACAAGATATAAAAACACATACACTTTATACATTGAAAAAAAAAAAAAAAACCATCATGCCATAGTCACAATTATAAAGTATAAGCAGTAACAGATATAGTATCTTTTTATTCAAATGTTAGCATATTTCTTTTTACGGAAAAATATTTAGAGAAAACTTAATTTTGATTAATATTATTTATTGTTTTATCGTGCAAACGAAATTTCAACAGTCAACAAAAACTACACCCAACACAATTTATTTCATATGCATGTAACTTCAAAATAATGAAATGCCTACCGTTTTGTAATGTGTCCTTGAAACTGAAATTATCCTTATTTTTTCTGTAAAAGAAGAATACTTTACTCATTGTTATATGTGTAAGTGAAATATTTGAAGGTTTCCAGATCCACAAATCCCCTTATACATTTCTGGTCATAAACTTGGTTCCTAAGATGAAGACATTAAAACATATACAATCTAAACTATTAATATGGTTCTAAGAAAAGAAAATAAGCAATTTTGTGTGAAACTTTTCATATTCAGTTTATTAATCATTTAAATATCTTATATCGTACAGCTTATGTAATAGAAATATTGCATAAAGTTTGTTAAAGCATTAGCTAACCGGACATATTTTTGACAGTGAATTAGCCCTGGTTTACGCGAACATAGGACAAAATCTTTGATACAAAGACCTCTCACTTCCTGACATGGAACATAATGCTTGTCCATCTCCACTTAAAAAAGATAGAACAGAAAAAAAACTACAGAAAACAGTCTTACAAAGCCACAAAGAGATATGTGACAACTTGTCACTGCTAAGCATTACACAAACATTAAGGGATTTCAAATTAATTGAAGCAGACCAACATTTTCCTTAGGATCTAATAATGAGCATTCTTTTTTGGAGATGGGGGGGGATTCATTAGGCACAATATAAATAATCTATCTTTTATCTTAATTAAAGTATTTCAAAAGATATAATTAAATTTTGTTTTCTTGAAGCATTTTAAACTTTGATAAATAATGAACTTTTACAAATTATATTCACACTTGTTAAAAGATAATTCAAATTACACATTCACTAAAAATTATGCAAATCACTAATTCTGCTTTTTAACTTGGACAGTTATAAAATCTGATGTCGTTTAATAACCAGTACTATTACAACCTGACTATTAGACTGGGTTTTAACCAAAATGAACATTGCTTGTAAGGGCTGATATAACACAAAAAGATTTATCATACATCAATCTGAAAATTTACATATGTTTACTAAGGTCGCTAAGCGACGATGCAGGTGAAAGTGAAATATGCTAACTTTTGCATTTTAATAGAACCCCCTGGCCATGTGGAAAGGATAAAATGCAACAGAATATGGAAGTCAGGGAACATATTATTTCTAAAAATTCCCCTGCTTTTCCCATAATTCTAAGTGATAATTCTCCAAAACTGGACATATTTTTTGTCGGACTATTTTATGTTAAAGCAATATCTTTTTGTGCAGGGAGCACAGCAATTCTGAAGTATTTTAGGCGGGCATCCGTAACTCCGCCCACTGCGCAAATTAATAAAGATATTTCAACTGACAAAGGCATTGACAATTAAAAAAATTGAAACATTTTGTAATCAAATTTAATTTAACATCACCATTGGAGAGTGATATTCACCTTTAGAAATACAGGATTGTCTTTTATATTGGATCAATGTTGGTGAATGAGAACGTCATCCATTTGGTAAGTTTAGTTTGAATATCATTAGATAACAGTAAAGAAAGCATTCCTCCATCCACTTCACGGTAGATAAAAATTCATTTTAATGTTTACTTTCCAGTTCGAAAGAAAATTAACATTCGATATGCAACATATACCATACTGTAGCCCAGGGCAAATTCTTGTTTACATTTGTCGAATCCAGAAAACGAAATAGGCCCGGCTAAAATCGAAGAACCGTGAACAATGTGCTGTACATTTCCAAAAAAGATAGAAAAATTGTTTTCTTAACATTGGATGAAATCTGATAGACCCTTGTCCATGTCATTGAATGATAAGGGGACAGAGTAAATGGCTGTATTTAAATGTGTATCAGATGTGATGACCGTCTCCGTCACCATGTTATTTTGACCTGAACGTGTGTTAATGCATAGGATAATGGATACATATTGTAATGGCGGATGCTTTCAGAATGAGGTCTCATTTGTATGTATATTGTAATTATTTTGAACGGTAATAATAAAGTAAATTCATATAAATTTACCCTAAAATAAAAGACTCTTTAAGTTTATTATATATATTACATTTTTTGGTAAACGATGTCATTTACATATTAAGTTAACTGTTGCTTACGGCAATTTAACGAGTGTAAAATATTTTTCTAAACACATATGTTTAATTTTCTTTTTGTCTAATTTAAATACATGTATATTAATATTCTTTTTTTGTTTCCCTCCTTTTCATAAATTGAATAAGGTTATAGGCCTTTTTTGTTAAAATTCAAATGATTTTTTTTATTTCATACAAGGTTAATATCTTTAAACATTTATCATAAAAATTGCATAGAATATGGTCTGCTTGTCTACAAAAAATAAGTTGATCAAGCGACAAGTACATGCTTGTGTATGTAAACTTGTCTCACGTTGGTTCTATCTATTTCAATCATCAGAACATTTCTTACATTGGCCGGTCATTGGTCGAATAAATATAAATGGTCCGTTAGGTCTACCACTAGAAACTCTACATAATGTACATATATCACTGAAATGTTTTTGTCTTTGCTAGTTTAGATAATTGAAAATTCTAGTTTAAGCAATATTGCCTTCCATCTGAAAACATTAATGGAACTTGTTTTCGATAACTTTTTAAAACATGTTAAAATATTTTTTCTCATACCATTATACATGTTATTTGTAATATTAAACATAAGAGACATCACTACAAGCATTCGTAACAAGCAATCAATCTCATTAATTAAACAAGCAAAACTTTTTCCTAGAAAATCAAAATGATTTTTTTTTTTAAAAAAAGGTCAATTTTAGCATGGATATACATATTATTCGGTTTTAATTTCCAATATTTCTTGGTCATTGAG